CAAATAGTTCGCCAGTGCCTGCGTTCTGAATATGGAAATACAAACATTTTGAAAAGAAAAAAAAAAAACAATGAAAAAAGCCAACAAATCCCAAGGTACAGAAAAAAGCATTTTAAGTACTCTTTTCTTCCTCAAAAAACTGGTTCACTCAAATATTTACTTATGACATTTACATACCTGTGCATCGATGTCAAATCTCGCGGGTTTTCCGACAATGGCGCTCCTCAATCCTTCACCAGTGGCCTTACATTTCGACGCATCGCAACCTTCTCGGACATTGATCTTAGCTTCTTTCACTAAGGCGCCATCAAACAGTACCTGAGAAGAGATCGGCATATTTCTTGAACTTTTCAGATTTCAGCAACAATTTTGATTGTTGTAGAATTCAAATGAACTTCTAACTCAATATCCTGACCTTTAAAGTTGAAGAAGACAAAACGCAACTTTACCGAAATTTTCGGCAATATTTTTCAAGGCATTCTTTTCTCTGAACTTTCCAACAAAAAAAACCTCTGGGGTGTACTACAGTAATTTCGATAAAATGCTTAACATTTACAAAAGTTCTATTAGGGATAGATCATAGTTGAAACAACCTAATACAAGCCCTTCTAGACATCCTTGCGATTTCAAAAGTTACGCTAAAATTACCATAAATTTTTGGTTCGGCGATGCAATAGTAGGACTATTGCGATTTCAATACCCAAAAATCGATGAGAAATCCCGAAGGCCAAAAATTCGGGGCTCAAATGTACATTGTACAGCATAATTAGCAATAGCATTTAGCAATAATTTAAAATAATTGCTTATAAGTCGTCCTTCAACTCAAGGGTGACCCACCTTAAGAGTAGATTGTCCAATTTCATGTGCAATGAATATTCCACCATGCGATGCAGCACCTGTTCGTTTCATAGGTATCTCGACCACTCGTCCATTGATGTTAGCAATCATTTTCACACCACTACCATGCGGTATTAGATGACCAATGTCGACACCCACGTTAAAACGATGTCCACGTAGGACGTCGTCTATAACACACTCAATTCAACAGAATATGAATAAAACAAACAAAATATGACTTTGATAGGACTTTTGCTATTGGTAAGTTCATAAGCTGTTGTAAGAACACAAATGGACTGAGTAATTATCAGCACTCTACACACCAAGTATGGAAAAAACAGTCATCGTATAGATTTCCACAGTTCTACTGCAACTGTAATACAATGATCCATGGCAAATCACTGGAACAAAAGGCGTCTCGCATCCCATAGGATCGCTAGCGGTTGAAATCTTTGTTAAACTATACAGAGCAATAAAACGACTGAAAATTCCTTTTGTTTTCTATGTGTTCTAAGTTGATGAACACGCCAAGCATTATCACACACTGTAAATCTCAGATATTTTCCATAATGTTGATGTTAATCGATGGAGATTGTTGGATGGAAGAAAAGTCGCAAAACCATAACACGCAAAT